TTTATTAGGTTTTTATATGCTGGCTTCCGTTTATAATTTAGTGAGAAATGAACCCAAAGCTCATTTTTGAATTACGATTATTTAAGCCAATATGCACTAAAAGTTGTTTTTTATTTTTTACTTACTGGAATCAAAACGCTTTAAATGAATTCATTTTTATTGATTTTTTGTTAATGTTTATTAGCTTTTGAATTGGATCTGTTCCGATAAATAATTATATAAACCGTTGCATAGAATAGTTAAAAATAATATACTTCAGTATAATTATTGATGTGTTTGATGACGTCATAGTGTGTTGGTGGTGTTAATAGAAATCGAATAAATTAAAAAAAATAATAATTGAATTGAACATTTCTTGCATTAAAATTTTAGAAAACAAAATCAGAGTGGGACATTCGTGTTGATAATTAGCTCTTGTTCTAATATAGTTTTTTTTTAAAGTATATATTGTGTTTGCATGTTTACCATACAAGCGATCATAGGTGGTATCACCGAATTCCAATCCAGCCCAACGATTGCCAAGCAGTTTTAGTTGGGTGTTCCTACGCCAGAGGTTATGCAGCATTATTTCTTTTTCTTTTTTTTTTTTTTTTTTTTTTGAATATACATAGACTGCAAGCACACACACACCCATACTAACAGCACATATACACCCATATATATACCAATATACATACATAAATACATACATACACAGATACACATACACATTTATACATAATTTATTGATTTTATTTATTTTTTTTTTAATTTTTTTTTTTTTCATTTCTTTTTTTTCTTTTTAACTTTTACAAAACCGTGTTATAAAAACCGTAATAAAATTTTTTTGTTTTTTGTTTTTTCAAATACTATATAAAAGATAAAGTAAACCGGAAAATTTATACATACTAGCAATATATAATATAAAGCAATATACAATACAAACTCAAATAATAAATATTTATACATCTATTCATAGCTATCAGTTTCAGTACAATCTCAATGTAACTATATACTTAGGTAAACTTAGTTTTAATAATAGGTAGACAAACCCATAACACTAGTAATATAGAAAAACGTTCTCCATCGAAAGAATTAGATTTTTAAGCTTAGTTTTGAAAATAGAAAAAGAGGAAGATAGATCAAAATTTTGCAAAATAACTTTATTCCAAAGATTAGGTGCACGATAATCAATACAAAACTTGATTTAGCAAATTATTGTTTCTCAGTGCATACTTATTGTCTGGTTTCAAAGTAAAAATATTTTTAAAAACGTCAGGAGATAAGTTATTTTTCCACATATATACAAAACATAGAGTATTATATAAATTCACTTCGTAAATATTAAGTATTCTCATTTCGTTAAATAAAGGTTTTGAATGAGTAAAACGATCGGAAAAAATAATAATACGAACTGCGAGTTTCTGACGTGAAAAAAGACGTTTTAACTTATTCTTTCCAGCACTTCCCCAAGCAATATTTAAATAACTCATATAATTATGGATAAACGAATGATAGAGTTGGGTCAAGCTTTTTTTATTTAGATAATCTCTAGATTTATATAAAATTCCAATATTTTTAGAAATCTTGGTACATACGTGATCAATATGCTGTTTTCATGTAATGTGCTCATCAAGATAGACTCCTAAAAACTTTATGGCAGAGTCCTTCTTAATCTCAATTTGGTTAATAAATATTTTAGGCAGATTTATGGGTAGGTAACGTTTTTTTTAAAGCGGGTGGAAAATAATCCATTTTGTTTTATTAGGATTAAGAGTTAATTTGTTACACTTGAACCAGCTAGATATTTTTTTAAGTTCGTCATTTATATTACAAAACAGTTTGGAGGTGTCAGTATCAGAAAGGAATAGGTTAGTATCATCAGCGAACTTAATGCTAAGTAGATTTGAAGCTTTATTTAAGTCATTAATGTAAATCAAGAATAAGAGGGGTCCCAATATAGAGCCTTGAGGAACACCGCAAGATATATCTAATAAATTTTTTTGGCAATCATCCTTACAAGAAACAAATTGTTTACGATTTGATAGGTAGCTTTCAAACCATCTTAAAGTTTTTTTGTTTATACCATAATATTTAAGCTTATGCAGTAATATAGTGTGATCTACTGTACCAAAAGCCTTAGATAGGTCAATAAAGATACCTAGTGTGTATTGGGAATTTTCAAAGGGTTTTGAAATTTCGCGTAAAAATTGAATGATTGCATGTTCCGTGGAGTTGTGTTTTTTAAAGCCAAGTTGATTGCTATATAGTAGGTTATTGCATTGAAAATAATCATAGACTCTATTATACATAATTCTTTCTAATATTTTTGAAAATATAGGTAAGATAGAAATGGGTCGGTAGTTGCTAAAAATTATTGGCCAGTTCAGGACCAATTTCAACAAAAAAATTATTAAACTCGCAAGCTATTTCTTTTTGTTCATAGATGATTCTGTTATCAACCTTGATGACCTGGGGAAGGAAACCTGAGCAGTCTTTTTGTTTTCCGCTTATTTCTTTTATTATTTCCCATGTACGTTTGGAGTTATTTTTATACTTATCGATTAAGCTAGAGTAGTAATTTTTTTTCAAATTTTTTCGAATTTTTTCAAACTGATATTTAAAATCTTTGTATATTTTTTCATTTTCTGGGAACTTTGTTTTTTAAATACTTTATATACAGTTTCTGCTTGATCTTCGATGATTTTTTAAAATCTTTGGTAATCCAGAGATTAAATGTTTTTTTTGGATTTATTGTCTTTTCTATGAATGGAAAATTTGCATCGTAGATAGGATATAATGTATTGAAAAAATTATCATATATAGAGTTTGCGTCATCGTTAAAGTTTATATGTTTCCAATGGAGCAATGATAGTTGCTCTTTAAACTGATTAATATTGTCCTTGTTAATATGACGCAGTCTAATTTTTTTGCTTATCTTAACCGTATTTTCGGAATTACAGTTAAATGTTAAAAATATAGGGAAGTGATCGGAAATATCAGTTTTTAAGATACCTTTTTGTATGTTTTTATTAAGGATATCGGTTGTAATAATATTATCGATAAGAGTAGTTGTGTTTATTGATACTCTTGTCGGTCGATTAATTAAAGGAACTGCTCCTAATTCAAATATTGCGTCATAAAACTTTTTAACTTTAGAATCCTCATAATAAGAAAAAGTATTCATATTGAAGTCTCCAATAACAAAAACTTTTTTTTTCTTTTGTGCTTTTTTTGAATATGCTTTGTTCAAAAAAAATGCTCAAATTTTTGCCCAGACCATCAGGTGGTCGATAACAGCAGCTTAATAGAATGTTTTTTGTTTGATTGTTTACAATTTCAATCGTTAAAATTTCTTTATTCTCGTCAGAAACACTCAAATCATTCCTAACGTAATGCATTATGTTTTTTTTCACGTAAATAAAAATTCCACCGCCGCGTTTATTTGTTTGCCTATCTTGAGATATTAATTTAAAATGAGGAAGGTTAAAATTTGAACTATTTTTTAGGTCATTTATAGTTATCCATGTTTCTGTTAAGCAAAGTATATCACAAATATTTTTAGTTTCTTCTAAAAAATTAAGTAGATTTTCGAAATTGCGATTTAAGCTTCTAATATTTACGTGAAAAATTTTAATTTTATCGCTTGCTTTTACATTATCCTTCAAAAGAAACTCTGCTAATTCACTTGGATAATAATATGAACAATCACTGAGCAAATCACAATAATAGTTAGTGTCGGGATCTGAGAATTCATTTGAGATGCAATCTATTTTAGAAAAATTAAAGATTTGGTTTTCAAAATTATTAATGCCGCTCATTTTTAACAAGTGTACCGTAGCGTGGGGTAATTGAGCACCATTTTTGAAGCTTTTATTTAAATGAAATAAAAACTTGTCGAAAATTTTAAAAAGTGAGATATGTTATTTTAGTACTATATTAGGTCTATCATTTAGGAAGGTTGAACTAAAAAAAAAATTCCAGCAAAGAGTTAATGACACAAAATATGCGGGTGCGCATTTACCCCACGATTTGGGGTAAACGAGCACCTTAATATCTTTTTCATAAACATATATATATATGTTTCATAAACATATTTATGTATATATATATATATATATATATATATATATATATATATATATATATATATATATATATATATATATATATATATATACACATATATACAAATTTGGGAGAGTTCTACGTGGATATAGCTATTTAACGCGTAGATAGATGCAATAATAAATTTATATTTTATATTGAATATTGATTTAATATCATGTTATAAAAATTATTGACAATATTTTATCAAAAGCATCATACTTTTTATGTGTGTGTGCGCGCAAAAGATCCTTATCTGACACTCAGTCCCATTTTTGGGTCATCCTGGCCCCCTGCAAAAAATTAAAACCAAAGACAAACAATGCAGCAGACGAATTTTCTTTATCTAATCTAATATTCTTTACCTAGCATTCAAATAAACTTAGATATTTTTTATTTGTATGTTGAACATAATCAAATGGAACAATTTTTTTTACTTCAATTTTCATAATTTATTAAAAAAAAGGTTTTTTGTGTATTAAAAAAATAAATAATCCAGACAAACTAACCGGACTTCCTATCACCCTGACTCATATTATATACATGGGTGATAGATGTGAACACTAGTATAAACTTACATAAGTTTAAAGTTGGTTCAAGTCAACTTTCTCAAACATAAAATAAACAAATAAAAAAATAGTCTAATATATTTTGCTCAAACTTTATAACAAAATAAAACAAAAAAACATAAATATATGATACAGATATATCAACGCATATATAAGTCACCAATGATTACCTAACCCTAACCCTAACCCTAACCCCTAACCCTAACCCTAACCCTAACCCTAACCTTACAATAACATAAGAACCCTCTACTAATGGATATTTAGAGGTTACAACCATACCAGAATCATGTACTTCTTTATTAGAATTAGGATCTGATTCAAAGCTCTTTTTTAAGCAGTCTTCATTTAAGCAGTCTTCAAGCTTTTTTTGGATATTGGTAGGGATGTATGAAACCTCCCTTCCCCAATTTTCCATGCAGTAAGCACTTTTCTCCATGTTGATTTCATGGGTCCATAAACTGCAAGATCTAGAGGTTGTAGCAAATGTGTACTGTTTGGAGGTAAAAAGACCATCATAATATTATTAGACTCACAAATTTCTATAACCTCAATAGACAAATGGCATGCTAATTTATCACCAATAAGAATTTTTGGTGCGTCATTGTCAACATGTCTGAAGTAAGGTATTACTAATGTTTGCATCCAATCTATAAAACAGTGACTATCAAACCAACCAGACTTTGTTCGGTTATATCGTGCACCCATTGGACCTCCAAGTATCCATGTGTCCATTAGACGCTCAGCTTTATACACTGTATATGGAGGAAGAAATACACCATCAGCAGAACATGCAAACATAATCGACACTGATGACTTTGATGTATTCATAACTCGTTCAGCATGTTTAGTACCCTTTCGGAATATCATTTGTTTTGATTTTGGGTCATCAGAAAGATTTGTTTCATCATAGTTTATTATATTTTGAGGCAAAATATTTTTTATAGTTTCTTCTAAATTACTAAAAAATCTATTTACAGAATCACATGAAACTGCAGCACGTTTTCTACAAATATTTTGACATGCTCGATAAGATAGCAATTTTTTATGTTGTTTTAAAAATGATCTCACCCAATCATTACCAGGCAAATTTTCTTTAAAATATGGGCAATTCTATCAGATTTTTGAAGAAAACTTTGTATAAACAGCTTTAGGTCTACTATTTCGAATGCATAGCCAAAATCACTAAAAGTTACAATGTATTGAGCAATTGTTACTTCCTCTTCGGGTAACAATGCACTCCTTCAACCAACCACACTAGATTTTCTTAAACCACTAACATGACATCTTAGTTCTGTGTGGTATGTTCAATAGCCTTGCCACACGTTTACAAGGTTCTCCATCATTAACAAGTTCTACTGCTTTTTTAAGTTCATAATCTGTGTAGGTTTTGAAAAGTTTTTGTTTTGATTTTACGTAGTTTCTCACCATTTTATCAGATATCTAATATGTAAAAGGAAAACATATATCCTAAAAATTCAAATTATTTGCACCTTTAGATATTTATTTCATTAACAATAGTATTTAAAGGGTAAAAAACAGCTACTTGAAAAGGTGCTCATTTACCCCAAATAAAAGTGCTCAATTACCCCACATTACTTTAAACAACATTATTTTATTAACAATTCATTTATGAGACTTTAAAATTAATACGAATTTACCTCAACATATGTATAGTATACAACAAAAAATCAAAACTCTAAGAAGGTTTTAACTATAACTGCTTACCCTTAGTATTTCCAGTTATTAGTTTTTACGGAATTATATGATTCTGCATCGTGATATATTTAAAATGTTATCAGCTTTTAATTTTTGACCAAAACTGTTGTAATTAGCAACATACAATTTAAAAAAGTTAATTTAAATATTTATATTTTGAAAATGATCTAAGCATTGATATTATCTATTTTATATGACTTTTAAAATTAAATGTTTACAGGTGCTCAATTACCCCAGAAAGTGCTCAATTACCCCACGCTACGGTATCTATAGAAGGGTTTCTTTTGATAAAAACTTATTTGTTGAGTTCTCTGCAATAGATCTTGAGTTCTCTGCAATAGATCTTATCGAACTTTAAAATGGCATACTTACCTTCTTTACGTAAGTTTAGTACTTCACCCCAGAGTCTTTTTCGCGTTTCGATTGTTTCTTTAGCAAAATCTTCGTTGATAAAAATACCAGTTCCACGTAAATTTTTACTGTTAAAGAGAATTCTTTTTTTATCGTTGTAATTTAACATTTTTATGAAGATTGTTCGGTGTCTGCCTACTTTTTTTGGACCTGAACGATGAGCTCGTTCATTTATTATTTCGTTCGGGATTTTTAATTTTTTCGAAAAAATGTCTTTCACAATTTTTTCACAGTCATTCCAGGTTTCACCAGGTAATTCATTTACACCTTCAATCCTCAGGTTGTTTCTTCGTGAACGATTTTCAAGATCAACCAGTTTCTTACTTATGTTTTTAATGGCATTTGTTTCTTTTTTAGATTCAAAACGTTTCTGCTCATAAAGATGATTAATTTCACTTTCTGTCTGTTTATTTATTTCTGTAATCTTTTGTTTAGTTAACTCTTCTTGGAAGTTAAGTCCTTTTCGATATTAGAAGTTTTTATTTTGTTTGTAGATAGATCGAGTTCTAATTTATCTAACCTTTCAGTAAAAAGCTTCATATTTGCGCTTGTTATTTTTGCGAAGTTTTTTTCTTGTTCTTATATAATATTTTTCTGCTCTTCAAGCATTTTTTTAATAACTTCTTTAGTATTTTTATTTATATTCCTAATTATTATCTGTAATTTTATAGTAATAAGTTTTAAGTTTTTATTTCTTCAAGCAGTTAAAAAGAAAAACAAACACGTGCGTACACTTCAGCGTCCTCTTCAAAAAAAAAAAAAAAAAAAAAAAAAAAAAATTTTAATCGGTAAATGAATTATTTATTTTATAGTTTTTAAAGCTGAACATCCATGCTCCAATCAACCTGCAAAACGTCTTAAAGGCATTTGCCTCAGAATAATAAAAAAGTGGTTAGGAATTTAATCTGCCAGTTGCTAAAATTTGCTTTTAACTTATTTCGCCAACTTATGTATTCAATCTCAATTTGCAATACACGCAATTCTAACATAATACGAGTATAAAAAAACAACAAATATAAAATTGCATTTTTAAATAAATTTTTCCAAGAAAATAAATTTTGACTAGCCGAAATTTTATAAGCTAGAGATCCAGGTTTGAAAACAAGATTTTATTATATTTTCGCGTCACGGGAAGGAAGGAGGCGTGAACTTCTTGGTTATATGCACTTCCGCGATGCGGAAGTGCATATAACCAAGAAGTTCACGCCTGGTAACCTAAATAACAAAAAAAAACAATTCTTTTTCTTTTGGAATGACATAGTAAAAGAGTTTCTTTTGTTTTGAAGAATTATTGTAACAAAGTGGTACGGAGCAAGTAATTCCGCCACTTATTTTGGTTGTTTTATGGATTGAATACAGAGTTTCCCAAAGAAAAAATGCTACATTCTTTGTGAGAAAAATTATATTTATCTGCAATATATAAAGTTTTTTCATGAAATCCAGACATTGTTATGATTGCTGAGATATACATTTACCACAATACACTACGAATTACAGCTATAGTGGGAACGGTGATTTACTAACTTTTAGTTTATAAAGATGTTTAGTTTTTACAATTCTATCCATTTAGCAAACCAATTTTTATAATGGACTTCAAAACGACGTTTAATAAAAGCACTCCTTTAACAAATGCTGCATCTGAACGCGCTAAATTCGTATGTAGCTTAAGTAATTTATTTTAAAGCATCTGGTCTATTTGTTTCTATTTCGACTACTAGTTCCCCGACGGGCATTTGTTTTTAAAAGTTACGATCTAAATGTATTTTAAATGTCTTTTAAACGTCTTTTAAACATTAATGTTTAAAAGACGTTTAAAAGACATTTAAAACACATTTAGAACGTAACTTTTAAAAACAAATGCCCGTCGGGTCATTGCATTTATTGTTTAATGAATTCGTATTTGTGTCAACATTTGTTATCATTGCTTGATTTTTTGAGTTGGTATTGAGCGTTTCTCTCAAATCCGTAAGAAAGAGTCAAGCCATAAGAAAAAGAAAAAAATATAGTTTCCCGCTGTTCTCACTTTTTGAAGCGATTCTTTCAATCCAACATTAAATTCGCAACTATAAAATGTATGTTATTTGATAAAACTTGACGAAAAAGACTCGCATGTTGATAGTAATCATTAATAATGACATATAAAAACGCATATAAAATTTAAAACTCTCTAAAAATGACAAGTTATAAATTTTACAAGTTTAATTTCTGATCATACTAGTACTATTTATGTGATTGAATTATAAATCTTAATTTTTTATCTAGTTTTAAGATATTAAAATTATATTAAAAAAACGCGAATTCCCGTAAATCAACATAACTTGTACAATACACAGAAAATTTTTTATAGCAACGTTAAAAAGTATATACTATAAAAAGAGTTAAAAGTATATATTATAGAAAAGTTAAAAGTTAAAAAAAGAATTATAAAAAAAAGTATAAGTTAAAAGTATATATTATAGAAAAGTTAAAAGTATATATTATTGAAAAGTAAAAAACTGTCAAAAGTAGAAAAAGTTAAAAGAAAATTTTATTGAACAATATATACATTATTTTACTATTGCTTCTGTAGATTGTGTTATAATGTTTTTAAAACAAAATGATATATTAAATATTAAACAGCGTGAAAGCGCGTCAATAGTTTGAATAACTCTTCTATTTTTTTGGTCATTAATATTTTTGTTGTGATGAATTTTTTTAAATATTTTTGTTCTCTTTATTTTTTTTAATAATTTAGAAAAATGCTTCATCTAAAGTTTTAAAAAGCAGTTTCCGCAAAACTAACATAATCATATGTATATAATCTTATGAATGAAAGGCATAGGTAAACTTTGTTATTATAAACCCACAATTAAAACGGAACAAAAAAATTGCCAAATTATTAAATTAGCCTATGTCACTTCAAGACCGTACTAACTAGGATCATTTCTATAGTATGCGTCCTGTCATTGTAATTCTACAAAGACAACCCACCAAACCATGATGATGAGCTGTAGTAACAGCGCCTGAGCGTGATGCTAAACCCTTAAAGATCGTGAGATTTTTTAAGAGTTATAGATGATCGTTCTATCCGTCTCCGAAGAGACGGGCAGAGGGTGCCGTTACCAGCTGAATGGTTTTGTTTGTAAGAAATGTAACTTTAGTAACCGAAAAAGTTATTAGCATATTTTATTGTACATATTATTTATTAGAAAACAAAAATTTTAATATTCAAAAAATATTTTAAGAATTTTCACAAAGTAACAAGAAAAAATCTTGTTTTGCAGAGAAAACCTGCCAGTTACTAAATTCGCTTTTAACTTATAACGCCAACTTATGTATTAAATCTCAATTTGCGATACACGTGCAATTAATTCTAACATAGTACGAGTATAAAAAAACAAGCAATATAAATTTGCATTTCTAAATAAATTTTTCCAAGAAAATAAATTTTGACTTGCTGAAGTTTTTTTTTTTTCCGGTTATTTAGGTGCTCCCAGAAGTCCTTTGGGTCTTATCGCGGAGTACCGCGGGAGAGCATTTAGCTAGAAGTTCACGCCTCCCTTCATACCAATGTCGTTTATTGGGCTAGAGCCGGCGTTGAACCTCGGACCTCTGGGTTCTTCTGGTTCTGAGCAAGAACTCTAACCACTGCGTCATGGCTGTTCGTGGCGGCTGAAATGTCGCTATCGGTAAAATATTTGTCGAAATTTCGGCACCAAACTTGAGTACCCGAAATTTCGATTTTATTCGGTTTAAGCCGA